CTTACAAAAACAGTTTGAAATAGGTGATATTATCATCCTTACTTTATGGATGGGGAACTAAGGGTTAGAGCAGTTACAGAACTTGCTCGAAGTCTTGTGGGTAGTAAGTAGCAACTGAGGGATGCAAACACAGGTTTTCTCCTCTCTCTCACTTCTCTGTTTGTTCTCTTTATGCAATAATTAATCCCTGGTGTCTGTATTATACTTTTCCATCTCAACATCAATCTTGATTTTATGTAATGACACAAAACTATAGAGCAGTGGTCCACACACTTTTTGGCACCAGGGACAGTTTCCTGGAAGACAATTTTTCCATGATGGTGGAGGGGAAGGAAGAGTTCAGGCAGTGATGGGAGCGATGGGGAGGGGAGCCGCTGTAAATACCCGTGAAGCTTTGCCCACCACTCACCTCCTGTTGTGCTCTCCCCCTCCTAAGTTTCATGGAAGACAATTTTTCTACAGATGGGGTGGATTGAAGCTATAGAGGGTTGATAGTGATTTTACAAAACCAGAGAAATTATTATGTGGCCGTGTTGCTAATAAACAACAGACTTGAATAACTAAGTAGACATTTAGGCACTGTTAACTTCTACTAGTAGCCTGATGTTGATAATTACTAAAAAATTTGAGTTCCTTTTCTTTTTAATATTGATTTAGGAACAAATGGGCAGAAACTTCATTTAATGAATTCAGATTGTGGCTGATCCTTCTCCTGGGTTCCTATGTCAAATGGCAGCTTTCCCATTGGCTAGAAACCTCAAAATTATTTCCTCTCCTTCCCTCTTCCTCATGCCACATAACCAACTTTATTTTGGAAGTTTTCTCCCATCTCTTTCCTCCCTTGCATTTCCACTGGACACAACTCCTTGCAGCTTAAAGTACGGTCTGTGGACCAGCAGCACCGGCATCACCCCAGAGCTGGTGAAATGCAGAATCTCAGATTGTACCCCAGACCTACTAACTCAAAATCTGCATTTTAACAATATCTCCAAGTGACATCATCCACTATAAAGTTTGAGAAGCACTGGCATAGTGAATAAGAGCATCAGAAAGGCCTTGAATCCTGAGCCTGCCCATTACTAGATGAGTAACCACAGGCTACTTAACATTTCCAAGCCCTGTTTTCTTCACATGTAAAATGGGGACAGCAATAGTATGTAGCTCTGAAGGTTAGTGTGAGGATTATATGAGCTTAGGCACAATGCCTGCTATACTGCATGCACTCAAAAAGTGGGAGCTAAATGTATACAAATTTATTGTCGTTGTGCTAGTTGAAAACATCATTTCCTCTTATCTGGACTAATCTGATAAAGATGATACATTTAATCTTGGAAGAAAATGCATTAATGAGTTGTCAATACTGTTTTTCTTCCCCTCAGTTCTGTGATGTGCATTTTTCCATATATGTTTCTGCAATTGGGGTATGTCATACTGTTAATATGAATGTTTAATATTATGTTTTTTCTTACCAAAGCAGTTATTAAATTAATGGTGTAGTTTATGATCAATTGTATTTTAGAATTGAAAAAACATTGTTGATTATTTTCTGTGTTTTGTTTTGGAGACAGAGGCTTGCTCTGGGTAGACTCTGATGCCCTGGCATCATCATAGTTCACTGCAACCTCAAACTCCCGCACTCAGGTGATTCTTTTGCCTCAGCTTCCCAAGATGGGTCTACAGGCTGATGCCCAGTTTATTTTTCTATTTTAGTAGAGACTGGGTCTCACTCTTGCTAAGGCTGGTCTCAAACTCCTGGGCTCAAGCAATTTTTCTGACTCGGCCTCCCAGAGTGCTAAGATTACAGGTGTGAGCCAGTGCACTCAGCCTGATTGTTCTCTGGTACACTGAAGTAGGGACAGTTGATCATTGGAAGCGCAGCAGACATTGGATTTTCAGTTCTTGAGATGGGGTAATGTTTTAGGCATTTCAAAAAAAAAAAAAATTCTTAGTGGGACCCAGCACAGTACATTGGAAGTAGAAAGTTCTGTAAATATATGATAAATGATAAACCTATAAATGCCAGAAATCAAGATACCAATTAAACATCATAGTCTTTTGAATGGACTATAGCTCATTTGAACTAATTGCTAAAAAAGCAAATGAAAAAATTTGATGCTATCCCTGCTAGAGTGAAGTCTTAAAGGAGTTGTAACTGTAGTCTAGTTCCTAACTTTAGGTGAGAGAGGAAGATTTCTGAGGAATGAACTAAATTTTTGGTGTAGAGAGGTGTCAACAAAATATTGGGGGCAGTAAAAAAAATTGTTAATGTCTCTATTTTGCTTTGGGCTGATTCCATAGAACTCCTATGTAGCAAATGGGAAATTAATCTCTACCATCCTGACAAGAAATACAAGTAAATTATGAAGTCAGTTTTTTTTAATTCTACAACTTATAAAAGTATGATTATATAATCTTGCTCTACTTACTAAACTTTCAAGTATTTGTTATAGCCATTAAGTGTTAACTGTAGTTTTCTCACTAGTTTTTTCCATTGTCTCTCGAGGGAGGGACTGAAGTTTGGTAGAAAGAACTCAGGGCTGGTTTCTAGTTGCTCATTAGGTGGGGGTCTCTGGACACATGCTGGATTGTGTTGAAAATTTCATCTATCTGTGGTTCATTTTTCTTATCTTTAACATTTGATAAGATAATCTCTAAAGTATCTTTGAGATCCAAGATTCCGTGACCCTATGGTATTATAACCCATGAAAAGCAGTAATTCCTGGAACTTCAAGTATAATGCAAGGGCCTAGATTTCTGAGCATTTGATATGATAATGAGTGCCACCAAACTACTGGCCATATTTAGGACACATTTTACTAATTCTAAAATCTTCGGTCTTTGTTCAGGAGAAACTATTTATATAAAGAAAATATGAAATCCTTCATACAAGAAAACCCTCAAAGTAGAAGCTACCAGCCAGAAGTATATTAATATACAAGCAGTTTTTATTCATTTATTTATATATTAATTGATGATCAAAATTTAAATGAGCACCTAGAATTGAATAATCACAAAGGCGGGATACAACTATGAGTTCACATAACGACAAATACCCAAGTATTAATTAGATATGTAGAAGTGTTCATTATTAACTTCACTTGGAAGTAAACATATATACATATCATTGCCAAACATACAAAAGATGTAGAGAATTTCTGTCAAACCACCTCTGTAAATCTGCATATAAATATGCTTCTGCATAGAAAAGCTATATAAAGGCACAAAACTAAATTTAATAGTCACCCTTTTTATTTTCTACTTTGACTAAATGCTAAAGCTCTTTATACTTCTTAATATATATAAATTAAAATAGTTCACTGATCAATTATTTGAGAACTATTGGGAATGCTATTAGAAAAAAGTCTGTTGGTTTAAAATCATTTAAGTCTTTAAAATCATAATATTTTCTGTATTAAAAAAGAAATGGAAGTAAACAATTGCTCTTCAATTATCAAATAATAACTTGTTTCTGACCCATTGTGTTGGGTTTTCAGAAGTCAGTATTATTCGCTGAGTTTTGACTGTTGCACCCTAGGTAAGTGAGAATGAAGGCTCCTTCAATTGTGAAATGTGAAATGATACAGCTTTTGATTGTAAATTTAAAGGAGCATTCAGCCTCTGTGTGTAGGTCTTCAGATGTAATTTGTCTCAGTTTGTAGCTCTCATATGGTTTACACGACCATTCATGCAGATACTACCTAGTTCAGAAATGGTGCCTAAAACATCTACAGCAAAATACATTGGATTAAAATTCATGTGTTTGGGTTGATTCAGATGCAATTGCTATATAAAAATGAAGATTAGGTCATGAAAAAAGCTGGTCTCTGTGAATCTTTTTCTAAAAAGAGCTGATTGAAAATCAGTTTCATATGTTCATGAAGCAAGGCATTTTATATATTTAGAGGAAGGAGGTGGGTTTACAGATTTCATTCACAAACAAAATAATGATATTTGTCTTTGTTGAGCATACAGGCTTTAAAAGCATTTTTTTCTTTCCTAACTATATCAAAGAGCATGTTTTATACAAGCCAAAAGAGGAAAATATAGATAAAATGAATACTTATGAATTTGAGGGCTAATTACTTTTTGTACTCTTGAACAAGCATACACTGTAACCTAAAGGGACTGTTTTTTAATGATGCTTAAATTCCTAAAGTGAAGCACTATTATTAAAATGCAGATGCTGGTTTCTACAGTTAGCAGGCATGAGAAAAAATCTTAATCCAAAAGAATATGCTTAAATCATGAACTCATTTCTTTCAGACTTTAGTTCTTTTCTTGCAGGGCTGTAGGAGAAAACAAAACAAAACAAAAAAACCCAACTTCCTGGCTCTCTGCAGGATGATATGTACAGGTTGTCAAGGTGGTGCAGCAGAAAAGACAAACAGGCAGACCCAGATTCACCGGTGGGCCACATGCGGGCCACATGCGGCCGTAGTTTGAGGACTCCTGAATCCCTCATATATTGTGATGAGAAGAGTTGCTTTTTTCCAAAAATGCATAGCTACCATCTAATCATGATACAATAAGTATCATAAGTATTCAGCCAAGCTCTTAGGGGGCTGTGCAGCATTAGGCCTATCACTTAACCTTTCTCAGGGGATAATACTTACCTCACAGGTTTGTTACATATAATCTTATACGTTGCATGTGTGCCATAGATGGTAACTGTTATTCTAAAAGGTGGGGCTTAGTTACAGAAGGTATTAGATTGGAACATATGAAACAGACATTTTCATAGACTAAACAAACAAACAAAAGATAGCTGGATTTCAAACCTCACTGTAATATGGTCCCCTCCTAGGAACCTCGAGGGCACGGTTACAGGGAGGCCACAGTGTGGATGGCAAGGTCAGGTTCCGCAGTGAGTCTCAGGTCAGTGGTCATGGATGGCCATTTTTATTAATGACTTGTTTATAACATGCTGAAATAACATATATAATCATGAAACTTGGGTATTCCCTACCGGCAACACAAATCAATGTTTTACATTTTGCTAAAGTTAGCATATTAAACCCAATGTATTTGGATGGTTAAATTTCTGTTCTACGTTGCTAAGAGTCACAAGTACGTAAGAAGAATGGGCACGAGCAGCTGGGTCCATCTGCTCTTTCTAATAATATCAATGACATACACGATCCTGTCTAGACTCTTAGTGATCTGTGTATTTTCCTAAAAGCTCGATTTCAGGGTGTTTTCCATATTGTTGATTTCTCTCTCAGTCACCCTCCTTTGAAGTTGGGGCAGACGCTTTCGAAAGTTTCCACTCAGCAGGATGTAGAGAAAAGGGTTAATGCCGCTGCTGGCGTAGCTGAGACAGATGGAGAGGTAATAGCCCACATAGAAGGCCAGTGTGGGCTGGTCCATCTGTAAGTTCACCAACTGTAGCGTGTGATAGGGGGCAGCACTCAGGATAAAGACCGCCACCAACACCAGCACCATCTTTGTCAGCTTCATCACTCTCTGCTTGGGTACACTGGCATTGCAACTGTGAAGGAAACGTTTGAACAGACAGAACATAAACAGCCGTAGAAATCATGAGTCAGTGTCTCCCTAGAACTTTCTGGACAGCTCATAATGGCTTTGCAGTGAAATACGAATCTCATTTTTATATGCCTACTTATTCAGAGCATTGCAAAAACATTCTTTTTCATTCCTTTTAAAAACTTCTCAAAGTAAAACAAACAGAAAAAGAAGAAAACACTTGTTGAAGTTCTCAAAGCTGGAACATTTTGAGAAACAAAATAAATAACAAAGTATTGAATTATAACTCAAAGTATGAAATAAACATACATGAGTCTGATATAAATAATATTGAATAAAATGGAAGGAGAAGAGACAAACCTTTGCAGAATTCCAAATAATACAAGCAGATACTCCACTTTAAGGAGATGGAGTTTAATTCCCACCTTCCCCCTTCTCCCTTGCAGGTAGGCTATATTTAGTGACTCACTTCCAGAGATAGAGAAAGGGATACATAGTTTCACAGTGGAGAAATCTGGCAAATGCTACCTTAACCAAATCATCATCAAGGCCAACATCAACAATGATGCCATGTAGCTATCATTTAATCCCTCATATATCATGATGAGAAGAGTTGCTTTTTTCCAAAAATGCATAACTAATCATGATACAATATCAGACAGACCCAGATTGGGAACATTCTACAGGATACCTGGCCAGTACTCCTTGAGATTATCAAGGTCATGAAAAACAAGGAAAGAATGAGAAACTATCACAGACCAGAGGAGACTGGAAGACATGACAACTAAATGCAATTATGTTATTCTGGGTTGAATCTGGAACAGATAGAGGACTTTAATGGAAAAACTGGTGATGTCCAATGATGGGTAGAATTTAGTTCATAGCAATGTACTAATGCTGTTTTCTTCATTTTGACAAATGTACCATGGTAATGTAGGGAAAACTGGGTGAGGGGTATATGGAAACCCTTTGTGCTATCTATACATATCTGCACTATTTCTGTGCTATCTGTACTATATCTCTACTATCTACTTTTCTATAAATTTGAAATTATTCTAAAATGAAACATTTTAAAATTTCCAAATTTTATCATGTTATGTCATATTTAGACATTTGATAGAAATTTCTCTGGAACACAGTGGAAGCAGTTGAATAAGCCTTGGGAATTATATTTTAAAAAGCATAGGGGCCGGGCGCTGTGGCTCACGCCTGTAATCCTAGCTCTTGGGAGGCCAAGGCGGGCGGATTGCTCAAGGTCAGGAGTTCAAAACCAGCCTGAGCAAGAGCGAGACCCCGTCTCTACTATAAATAGAAAGAAATTAATTGGCCAACTGATATATATATAAAAAATTAGCCGGGCATGGTGGCGCATGCCTGTAGTCCCAGCTACTCGGGAGGCTGAGGCAGAAGGATCACTCGAGCCCAGGAGTTTGAGGTTGCTGTGAGCTAGGCTGACGCCATGGCACTCACTCTAGCCTGGGCAACAAAGCGAGACTCTGTCTCAAAAAAAAAAAAAGCATAGGGATTGAAAATGACTCAAAGACAATGATCCTCCTGCAGTTTATCAAAGTGGGCACCATGCTTCCTCTAACTTCTTGCATTTTGAGGCATAACTGGAGAGTATGAACTTTGTTCCATAAGATGCTCTTAGCATTTCTGAGAAAAGTGTTAGGGAGCAAAATGATCTGATTTGGAGAACTGTTTTAAAAAGGCTCAGGTATCCTCTCCAACTTCTGGGGTCTTAATATTCCATATGATTCCATTTCAACCTTCTCACCAACTCAGCTCCCTGTGATGCACTTAGAAGCTAAATTTTTTCCCCATAACTGTGGCCGTTTCCTTTTCCCATGCCAAATAGACCACCCTTTAATAATTTAAGACCTCCACAGAATTTCAAGAAGCTAAGTAGGAAAAAAAAGTTGTGAGCCAATAGACTACATAAACCTTTGGTTCCAGAGTTTGTCACAAATTTTAATTAATGATGGTTAAATTGTTCATATATTCTTTTTAAAATCTTCACAGTGTTACAACAAATAGTGTGTAGGAAAAAACAGCAAGCCTGCTTTTCCAAAAGAAATACAAAAATCTATTAAAAAGTCAAATGTTAATAAATTTAAAAGTGTTTTTACCCAACCGGTTATATAATTACTGACTTACTCATTTGACCAATTTGGTATACACAATTTCAAGTTGAAAATAATTTAGAGTTATTTATACAGTTTTAGAGACAATTATCTTCAAAGGTCCTTCCCAAGTTTATTGTCTTTAGGTTAAGTCTTTGGCTTTATTTACTTCTAATTAATCTTCTTCTAATATTAATACAATGCTGCTTCTCTAATTCAAATATTAGTGAAACTCCTCCCCTCTAAATCAAAAAATTAAAACACAGAAATCAAAAGGCTGAACACATCTAATATATTTACATACATATGCAACTCTGCAAAATGTGCTACTAAAACACTTTATCACTGAGAGATCTTCAATTAGCTGATTCAGAACACGTCTTATGTTTTCAAAAAGCCTGCTATACACATTTGTCAATGCTTATATGTCCAAACGTAGTATGTTTCAAGTTATTGTTGCTTAAGTTTCTTCTGCAGATGTCCTAGGATATCTAAAGTCTTTTTTTAACAAATAAAGCAAAATAAGGCAAACACTTACCATCTGGCGTCTTTATTTTGTTGATACATCTTCCATGTATAGCATAAAATTAAAATATAGCACACCAAAATCAAGGGTAAAGGGAAAAAAAAAGTTGTTATCGTCAAATAAAGTGTGTACCTGTAAAATGAGAAAGAGAGAGAATGCATCACTGTTACATTTGCTGCACTAGGAATTGGATTTCACAGTTTTTGAGGCATGACTTTTTGATTTTTTCAGTGTTCAGGATAAAAGTCCTTGGGGAAAAGCTCAGAGTGTTTGGCTGCTTTATCACTGAGTAGTCCAGCTTTTCATTGTTCAGTGACAGTGATGCTTGTCTCTTCTCTAGCCAAGCCCAGTTGTATTTATTGGGTGCAGAACAGGTGAGACTACTTATGATTATCTTTAGAGTTATTAATAACAACAGGCAACATCAGGTAGTATTTATTATGTAGTGGGCACTGTTCTAAGCACTTTGCATATTTTAGCCCATTAAATGTGTGCAACCCCATGAATACATTGCCATTAGTATTCTCATGTTACAGAAGAAGAAACTGAGGCACAGAGAAGTTAAGTGGCTTGCCCAAGACTACCCAGTGAGTAAGTGGCAGGGGTGGGATTTGAACCCAAGCAAGCAGTTGGGCTCCAGAGACCATGCTTGTAACCCAGGCTCCATATGATCTCTCAATGGCACACAGAAGCTCCTGATATAAATCAGTCAGTCTTCCCTCCATGCTCCTCTCCGGAGGTGGGAGTCTGGGGCAGGTGGTGGTGGGTTCTTAGGTGAGCAAACTCCATTCCTGCACAGATGTCAAGTTTCCTCCTTCCTGGCAGAACCATGGTCTTGGTAAAAGGAGGTGGGCCCAGATTGGGTGGGTGTGGAGAGGGTGTTAGAGAGAGCACCTGGGACCAGAGGGACCCTGAATGCAGCACAGTAGCTTAAAGACTTAATTCTAGGAGGAACAACAGAAGCTGTAACCTCAGAATATCCTTTACCATATCAGTCAAACATAGCAGACATAGAAGCAGCTGTCAGTGTAAAAATAGCGCATTTTGTTGTTGTTGTTGTTGTCATTTGTTTCTTTGACACAGGCCAAAAAACAAGTCATATAGTCATTTAGTGAGCCTCAGGTTATGCTTTCCTTTTAGACAGGTTGAGGCTCATATTTGTATATCAACTCCAGTAACTATTATAACTATCATTTCACCTTTCAATTGGCTGATGGCTTTTGTTTGTGAGTGCATCCAATGCTGATGGGAGAAATAATGAATCAACAATCAATCTCATTTTTGAAAACAATTTTTGTATAGATGTATAATAGATGTTCATAGTTTGGGGGTACATATGATAATTTAATACATTCATATAATTTGTAAAGATCAAATATTTTCTTCCATTCTCTGGTTGTCTCTTCACTTTGCTGATTGTTCCCTTTGCTGTACAGAAGCTTGATGTGATCCCATTTGTCTATTTTTACTTGGGTTGTCTGTGCTTTTGAGGTCTTACACATAAAATCTTCACCCAAACCAATGTCCTGGAACATTTCCCCAATTATTTTTTTTAGTAGTTTCATAGTTTAAGGTCTTAGATTTAACTTTTTAATCCATTTAATTTGATTTTTGTGTATGGTAACATAGGAGTCTAGTTTCATTCTTCTGCATTATCCAAGTGCCATTTATTGAAGAGACTGTCCTTTCACTATTGTATATTCTTGGTGCCTTTGTTGAAGATGGGTTGGCTATAAATGTATGTATCTATATCTGTGTTCTCTACTCATTTTCATTGGCTTATATGTCTGTTTTTATGCCAGTATCATGCTAATTTGGTTGCTATAGCTTTGTAGTAAATTTTGAAGACAGGTAGTGTGATGCTTCCAACTTTCTTCTTTTTGTTCAGGATTGCTTTGGCTATTCAAGGTCTTTTGTGGTTCCATATAAATTTTAGCATTTGCTTTTCTATTTCTGTGAGGAATATCACTGGTGGTTTAATAGGGATTACATTGAATCTGTAAATTGCTTTGGATAGCACTGTCATTTTAAAAATATTAACTCTTCCAATCCATGAGCATGAAATATCTTTCCATTTTTTATATCCTCTTCAATTTCTTTCATCAATGTTATATATAGTTTTCTTCATATGAATATTTCATTTCTTTGGTTAAATTGATTCCTAGGTAGTTTATATTCTTCATAGTTTTTGTAAATGGGATTGCTTCCTTGATTTCTTTTTCAGATTGTTTGCTGTTGGCATGTATACATCTACTAATTTTTGTGTGTTGGTTTTGTATCCTGCAACTTCACTGAATTTGTTTATCACTTTTTAACAGGTTTTTTTTTTTGTGGCCTCTTTATGTTTTTCTCAGGATAAGATCATGTTTTGTGCAGACAAGGGTAATTTGACTTCTTTCTTTCCAATATGGGTGCCCTTTATTTCTTTCTCTTGCTTAATTGCTCTGGCTGGGATTTCCAGTATTATATTGATTAAAAGTGGTGAAAATGAGCATTCTTGTCTCATTCCAGATATTAGAGGAAAGGTCTTTAAGTTTTCCTCATTCAGTACAATGAGAGCTGTGGGTTTGTCATACATGGCCTTTATTATTTTGAGGCATGTTTCCTTGTAAAACTAGTTTGATGAGGGCTTTTATCATAAAGGGATGTTGAATTTTGTTGGATGCTTTTTTGGCATCTATTAAAATGATCATATGGTTTTTGTTCTGTCAATGTGATGTATCACATTTACTGATTTGCATACGTTAAATAATCCTTGCATTCCTTGGATGAATCCCACTTGATTATAGTGAATGATCTTTTTAATGTTTTGTTAAATTTAGTTTGCTAGTATTTTGTTGAGAATTTTTGCATCTATGTTCAACAGTGATATGAGCTTATTATTTTCTTTTTGTTGTGTCCTTTTCTGGTTTGGGTATCAGAATAATCTGGAATTATTTGGGTATCAGAATAATCTGGGCCACATGGAATGAGTTTGAAGTGTTCCCTCCTCTTCAATTTTTTTTGAAGAGTTTGAGTAGAACTGGTGTTAGTGCATCTTTAAATGTTTGATAGAACTCATCAGGCCCCAGGGGGAAGGGGGTTTCTTTGTTGGAAGACTTATTACAGATTTGATCTTATTAACTGTTAATGATTTGTTGAGGTTTTCTATTTCTTCATGGTTCAATCTTGGTAGGTTTTTTGTGTCCAGGAATTTATCAGTTTATTAGGACACCAGTTACTGTATTTAGGGCCCACCATTGATCCAGTATGACCTTATCTTAACTTGATTGCACATGCAGGGACCCTATTTCCAAATAAGGTTACATTCACAGGTACGGAGAGGAGTGCTTGAACATATTTTTTTGGGGGGGGACACAATTCAAGCAAACTACAATTGCATATTAATGAGGTTTGAGTCTGAGTAACTCTTAGAGTCTTTTGGAAATTCTTCCCCTTCCTTGACTGCTGCATTCCCACTGCGCCTGGCTGTCATGGCTCTTTAAAATCCATATTTAAATATATTTGTGCCCATGGTAGTGACATGATTAAATTCAAAATTTTTTCCTAAAGGTTGCCCTCTCCTTAAAGCCAAACTTCCACCTTGATGGCATAAAGGAAAAAACTAAGCAGAGAGACAGGTGAAAAGAGGAACCACAAGGACTCCCTTCAAGGCTGCTCACTTGTTGACAAGGGGCATGAAGGACTTCACAACTTAATTCAACTCTATATTTTTCTTAAGTTTTAACAACTTACCAGAGTACATCGTCAGGGGATGTCAAATCAAAAGCACAACTCTCGATGCCGTCTTTAAATTTGATAACCTTCGAGTAGACCCAGACAGGCAGTGCCAGAATAAAGGAAGCTGCCCAAAGGCCCAAATTGATGCGGATGGTCTTGCACCTTGTTCTCCAACTCGTCAGTCGAAATGGTTGGACGAGGGCCAAGTACCTGCAAAGCCAGTTAAGAAGGGCTTGGGGACAATCAATAAAGGCACTGAGCTCCAAGGATGAAAGGTTCACGACAAGAGTAAATTATTAGTACTATTATCCTCCCTGAAGCACACCTCTATCAAGGCAAAAGAAAGTTCTATTTTTTCAGAGCTGCCTGGTACCTGCAGAGAAAACAACTCTTGACGTTGCAAGTCTGAATAAACCACTCACTGTAATAGCTGTTCCTTCTATGGACACACTGATAATGGTAAAATTCTGCAATGCACTCTTTTTTTAGAAAGGTGCTTCCCCTGTAAATGCGGCTCTGGAAAACTCTGTCTCTGAACAAGGATTTCTTACAGGAGGAAATATTAATAACCCACTCCCCAGCAGGATTTACTCATGTAGAGGCAGGAAGGAGGGAAGTGCCACGTCTGAGAGGAGCATTCTCCAGCAGAATGAGGTTCAGGCACACAGGACAAAACATTTTGCTCAAATACATTGCTTTACAATAAGGTCCCCAGGTCCTTGGAGGTTCAGTTCACAGAAATCATAGTGGTGATGAACAAGCGTGACTATTATAGACAATGCAAATTCCTCGGGGAACTTAGGCTAGAAGCCAGAGGGAGGAAATGGGCTAATTTCACGGGGAAGGGTTTTTCTTTTTCTTTTTTTCTATTTTAGATCCAGAAAAAAAAATTAATCATTAATCATTTGAAATCCTGACATTTCAAATATATTTGGTCCCCCAGCAAGTGCAAGAAGAATTTTTCAGAGCTAACCGAAAGCTGAAGGATAAAAAAGAGAGCTCAGATTCAGAAGGAAGGCTATTTGAGAAAGTACATCTTTGCTGGGGTTGGGGTGGGGGAAGATAGTATTAACCGAAATTAAATGTAAAAAATAGTTTCGACAGTCACTTAATTTTCTCCAAGTTTTTGTAGAGGTACTCACTGAAGACTCATAAAAATGAAAAATTTCCTGTCCTCTTGCTCTTTCAATATTGCACCAGAAGCAGGACATTTTGCATTCAGTTAAGGGACCTTCAGCATGCAGGGAGAGGTTTCTGGCCAGGGCTCCTTGGCCCCCCTCCCTTGCACACTGCAAGTGCATTCCCTGTGGCTAAGGAGAGAAGGCCCCCTCCCGCGCTCCCTGCTGGGGAAGTGGATGAAGTGGTGATTGCACAGCAACCCAGCCATCATTCTGACTGGAATTATGGGATAAGGAAGTCATGGCATCATGCAATTAGAGAGTCTTCTCTGATAGCAACCTTCCCCAGCTGAAAAATCTTTCAATGGCTTTTCATCGCCATTCAGATAAAATTCAGAATTCTTACCATGACCATGAGCAGGTCTTTCTTTGCCTGGCCCTGCCTGCTGTTCAAGTTGGAGCTTGTGCCCATCTCTCTTGACTTCCTTCAAGCTCCTCCCCTTTAAGGTCAGGTTGTTTTACCTGCCTGGCAGGATCTGTCTCCGCTTTCTCCTGCTCTTCCTTCAAGTCCCTATTTAACCGTCTTCCTCTCAGAGAAGCATTCCCTCACCACATGATCTATATGAGGGCCCTGTGAGTGAGGGCTGGGAGAAAGAAAGGGCTGGAATGTCTTAAATATAAAATGAAATCTTAGCATACTGTGTCCATTGTATTAAAACAAGACACAGCAAAAGGCTATTCAGGTGTATGACACATATGCATGTGCGCACACACATACACATACATGTATGGAGAGAAAAAGAATCTGTCAATGTTAGGAACCATATACAGTTGGTTTGTTCCAAGGCAGAAAATTCCCATTCACTTTATTTGCAGTAAGAGGCTTACAGAAGGAGTACCAATACCCCTCTTTTTTATTCTTCCAAAAAAGCCAATATTTTCCTACTTCCAAAATACAAGGTATAAAGAAGCTTTTATTATCCCCAAGAATGGGATTACTATTGGTATAACCTGTACAGCAGGTTGCTTTTCTGCAGTAGGCCTGGTCTACACAGGGCCCGCGCCCTGGTGTTGGAATCCCAGCAAACTCGGGGGCTTTTCTCAAGACACAGTCAGCACTGGCAGGCATTGGCTGAACTAACTAGATCTATACAGTTTATTGATTTAAAAATGTGGTATTAATTATAAACAGAGAAGTGCATTCTATATTTTGAAAATTCTCCTGCAGAAAAGCAGTAGGATATAAAAATGCATAAAACATTACCATAATTATTCGTTCTTGCCAGTGAATAATTTATATGAAGCTTGCCATTGCTTTATTTATTCCTTTAAAGAAAGGTTTATGATTTCCCCACCCCAGAGATCCACTTGGAAGGAGAAGGAAGCAGAGCTCAGGAACTGTTACATGGACAATTGAGATGTATTGGTAGGCAAAGACCCTGAAAAAAATTACATTTGAGGTGCAGGGGGAACTAGATAAAAAAAAAATACACACACACAAATACACACACACAAAGTAAATTATGTATGTTATAATATATCTGAAGCAAAGGAAAAGGAAAAAGTAGATCAGAGAAAGGGGGATAAAATGTGTTGGGTGGGGGTTGGGTTAGAAAGAAGGCAGATGGGGATTTTGAGAGGGTTGGTCTTGAAGACAGCATGTCACTGTTGTAAGTATTATGGTTGTCATTCGGCCTGTTTCTGTCTGGGGAGACCCGCTAGGACCTGGCATGGGCGTGCGTCCTGGCATCTGGATAATGCAGGACACACCCTAGCTTGCATGCTTCCCAGAGAGGTCGGAGAGTTACAAACTACCTGCCATCTCTAGAGTTGGATGGCCTAGGTCTGAACTGGGCTCTTTACCACTCATTGGCTCCATAAGTGTCACTGTCACCATCATCTCCTCAAATAATGGCTTACCTGGCTGATGAAAATGGCTATTGCACATTCCAGGATATAGTGGAATGAATTTCTAATGATGCAAAATGGCATTAACCAATCATAAGAATCTGTGTAAAAGATGTAAAAGATGGTATTCCTGACACTGGGAAATCATTTCATAGTTTTATAGGAATCTACATCTACCCCACTGATTCCTTAGAGCTGCCAGGTGATAACAAGACTGTGAGACAGCGAACATACCAGAAACAGCCCTGAACAGGGAGTGAGGAGACAGGCCTCTACTCTCAGCTCTGCCTGTAACCCTCTGTGTGCCTGTAGCAAATCCCCTCACCTCTCTGGGCCTCAGCTTCCTTACTGCAAAAATGGTGGAAGGAGTTCATTCTGGTTTCTAACATTTCATGATTTTGTGATCTTTTTTTCTTGCAGTGAATTGCAAATAAAGCCCAGGTCAAAAAGAATGATTAGAAAAAAGGAGATTTTAGTGTTTCATGTTTTTCCATGAAAAAAGATAGACCTCTGTGAAAACTGAATAAATATTCTTAAGTAACCGGTCCTAGAATGAAACAAACAAACGGAAGAGGAGTTTTGCTGTTATAAACGAATACTGATGTTGCTTAAATTGGAATGACCTTGGGGAAGCACAGGAGCTTCTGAATTGTATTAAGATATTTCAAAGTCTCTTCACTTACCTGTCCACACTCATTACGGTCATGATGGCACTACAGGCAAACTGGTTGCAGGTATCCAGAGATGTGATGATGGTGCACAGAGGTCCCCCGAACACCCACTCTCCTCCCCGGGCCCACTGGTGAATAAGAAAAGGCATTCCAATGATGTGGACCAAATCAGCCACAGCCAGGTTGCAAATATAAATGTCAGGGATTGTTTTTTTCCTGGACCTGAGAGAAATGGAGGGAAAATGAGAATTGACATTGAAAGTATGCACCTTCTTCAATACATGCCACCTATTACAAATTTTTATTAATAATTGCTATAATGAATTATAAAAGTTAAAGGAAAACCTACACAAATGCAATGCTTATATTGAAAAATTCTGAACTATTTATTTGATAACTAACTGTGGTGGTTTAAAAATATGTCTACAAAGTCTTTGGTATTCTTTTCATAGGTGGAACTTAATTCCCTCTCTTTGAGTGTTGAACTTAATAACTTGCTTCTAACAATTAGAATATAGTGGACATTGTAGTGGACTCTAGTGCAGTGTGTGGCTTTGAAATTAGGATGCAAATGCATTGTGAGGCTCTCTCTTTGCTCTCTGTTGGATCACTTTCCCTGGTGGAAGACACCTGCCATCTTGGGAGAAGACTCAAGCAACGCTATGGAGAGATCCATGTGGAGAGGAACTGAAGCTCCAGCCAGCAACCACCCGGCACCAACTTGTCAGATATGTAAGTGAAACCTTGGAAGTAGATCCTCCAGCCCTCGCCAAGCCTTCAGATGGCTGTAAACCTGGAGGACTATTTAATTGCATCTTTATGAGAGAGCCAGAACCAATCAATCAAGCTGTTCATGGATTCCTGACTCTGAGAAACTGCGAGATAATAGATGATTATTGTTTCAAGCCACTGTGTGTTGGAGTAATTTTCTATGCAGCAACAAATTATAGTAACCTTAAACACACTCAGGCAAAAGGCTTAGTCTTTACTCATTCTTAGCACCTAAAAGAATAAAAATAAATGGTTTCTATTGTCTACTGATTTTTTTTTACCGCAGCTGAGACCATTGTTAAAATTTCAATGATTACTTAGAAATATTCCAGTAAAATCTAACCCAATAGCAAAGACTATTAATGAAGACTGTGAAATCCAGACAGTGAGGAGAGGAATTTGAAATGAGGGAGCAGATAGACTGCACTGAGAATGACCTCATGTCTCCTACAGGCAGTGGGGATGAGAGGGGGAGTGAATGCAATGCTATCTATCTGTGGCATTCTCACCTGTAGGTGAAAGGATTTTCTGACAGCAGAGATTTAAATTTAAAATTTTGTTTGTTCCTATCTTCAAGGAGTTGACACTTTCAATAATAAACAGGTATCATCTTTATTCGAGAGGTGCTGTTCATTAATTCAGTGAACATTTTATTGAATACCACTTATATGTCAGGCATACTATTGGACTCTGGGGCTATAAAGCTAAATAATATAGAAGTTCTGTCATCAAGGAGCTTTTGTCTAGACATGCATACATAAATGGCCACATTACAGTTTGATGAGAGAAAGCTGGAGACAAGTACAAGGAGCACAAACTCCTCTCCCCTGGGGACTGTCAAGGCAGATTTCTTGGCAGAAGTGGCATCTACACTGAGGTCAAGTAAGAATCTCAAGCATACATAGGAATTAATCCTAAGATTATGCCACAATTGCTAGTGCACTTCCTATCCAGGGCAACTGCTCTGCTGTTTGGAAACTAGTGTGTGTCTTTGTTATTCATTGGCAACAAATTTTACAGTCTGTGAACTTCACTTCATCATTTCTAAGCTGCCAAATCCTCATGTGAAACATCACACTGGACGAGGCCATATTTTGTCCAGGCCTTGGCAACATACACTGTGGGGGTAAGTTACTGCCACTGAGTCCTGATACTGAGCAACCATATTCTAGTCATTGTTGATGACCCTAATAAAATAGGTTCATTCCTTTCTCTCAGGAGCTTGGTGACTCACACCAGAGTGACCAAGAGGGAGGGAAGACTGGAGGGAAAGATCATGTCAACTAATAGAGCAGACAAGTGACTGTCCTTGGTCTCTCATCCCCTGTCCTCTCTGGGCTATTGGGAGTGGGAGACGGAGAGGGGTTAGCAAGGGGACAGATACTAGGGGTCAGGTAGAAAGACTTACACACTAAGAAAAAAAATTATAAATCTTAGCCTATAAATAGATTCTATTTGCATTTGAATTGGGGTATAAATAATAAGTGATTGCTTAGCTCTCAATTGCAGCAATTAGATGCACAGACCCTTGCTTTTCTCTAGACAGGTACCCATCACTTACTGATAATAAATTATGGTAATTCTATTGTTGAGGACAGAGCAGGCCATTAGCTGGGAATTAAAAATAATTAAATAGAATTGTTTGTAGACAAGATTTTGTATAACACAAAGAGACTTCTGAAACAAAGGATATATTTATCTAGGTATAAGGTGCTATAAATATAAATAACACATTATATTTATTATTGCCTGTTTACTAAAAATGACAGCATAGAAATTAAAAAGAATTAAATGGAAATTGTAAAATTTCTAACTATATAACTTATAGCCTTTTTTAGGGTCTAACTTATCTTCAGATTTCCTGTCATCAGTCTTGATTAGATTTCTGTCTCTTATGACTCAAACATTTAAAATAAAATACATAGACTTGTGATAATTTTGACTAACATGTCCATATGTTTAACATGGCCATATCTAATGCTAACTAATTTGAGGAATGATTAAACTGTGGTATTCCATAATACCACACATGATATAACTGTTACAAATCTTTGAGAGAATATTTAATCAAATGTAAAAATACTTATACTATTAAGTAAAAGAAAGAATATTATGTATATAGCATGACTCCAAATTTGTTGAAATATTTGTTTAAAAATATGCAGGAATGATATGTCAAGTGAATACAGTGATCGTCTATTTGGTAGTAGTAGTAGGACTAATTTTTTACTTTATTCTTTGTAATTTCTGATACTTTTCCAAAATTTGTATTAACACCATGTTTAGCTTTTACAAAAAAAAATTTAACAATATATGCTATGGATTAAGTAAAACTAACAACATAACACACTACACCACACATGCAGGCTGCTGTGCTGGTCATTCACCAGCTTGTTCTCAAATCCATTCCCCACCCTGCCTGAGCTTGGTTACCAGATCTCCTTGCCAACTGGCTTCCAACTAGGTTTGGCCAATAGGAAGCACTGTTGGGCACTGGAGGGTAGGAGGAGAGGAGAAGCAAGAGTAGTTCTTTTCTCTGTTGGCATCTTGGCTAGTGACTGTATCCCTTCCATAGCTCCAGCTTCTCCTGTAGCCCCCACTCCATGTTCCAAGGTCCCAGATCTCACTGTGGCTCCAGCTCCCACCAGGCAGCTCAGACTCCTGGGGTCTGTAAAGCCACCTTCTCCTTCTCTCAGCTTGGCTTGAGGACAGAGTGATAGTGTTGGGATGGGGGATGGGATAGGTCATAGAAGTGGCTTCCTGCTCTTGTTAATCTCTGGGTTGCCTCGCCATCCCATTTGTCATTTAACTCTAGCTGAATTAAATTCCTGTTATGAGCCAACATCAATGGACTAGTAGTGATCCGTTGCACTACTGAAGCACTGTGCTGAGAATGCTGAGTCCTCACATAGGTGCTACCACAGGGCAGACTTATGTGATTAGAGATGACTGATAAAGATGGGACAGTTTAGAGTCACACATTTGCCAACCCTGAACTAGATACATAGTATAATATACTGGAAAGAGAACCTAACTGGGAATTCTATTTTCATTTCTATGCCCACTCTCACTTATGGTGCCCTTGGGCAACTCATTCAACCCCTTCAGACTCCCAAGTTGGCTTGGTACATTGGCCAATAGGACTGCAGTAACAAGGGTTCAGTTCATTTGAACAGATGTGGTCGTGTGGTGCTCTAGTATCTAAAACGTAAGATATGTGTGCAGCCAAGGGTATGAATCAATTCCAGCAAGAACTTGCATATGGCTAACACTCTGGCAGTGGTAGAGGGCTGGGTCAGAGGGAGCCGTTAGTTATAATTTAAGCTGAGTGGGGAAAAAGGAAGAGACCTCTGTTCTAAAATACTTCCCTTCCTTTCCTGTCTCAGAATTGGAATTCCACCATTAGACAGTCTTCCTTCAGGTTATTCTATTACACTGTCCATTTGTAATCTCTGCATAAAATGTAGACCCTATTGGGACAGTCAAAAAATGAGGTCTCAGTCATTTGTGACTTGGTATGAATTGCTTGGCCTGGCAGGGAGGCAAGGACAGGAAGTGACAGAATGGGAACTCTTTATTTATCATGGGATAGGGCACCTTTTGGAGAGTTTCTGCCTGCTTGAAGGGGGACTGTCAGTAAACAGAAGAAAGATGTGTGCGGGAGGTGGAGGTGGGGGTCTGGCAAAAAAATGCTCCATTATTAAAGCACAGGTAGCTTCCCAGGACTTGCTGTGCCTGTGGAGAATAGTTAAGTAATGGGGTTGAATTCAGTAGTTTGTCTCCTGAGAGTGTGAGAGGAAAATATTATAGCTGGTTCATTTTTCCTCCAATGTTTTCTAAACTGGCTTCCTTTTGACCTGATATGAATTTAATGTACAACAGAGTAGTAATGATCTGGCCTCCCTACTTCCTAACCACACTCCTAATGCACAAATTGCTTCTTGCTTTTTAAAATAGCCATATGGAACATCTTATTCTTGAAGCTCCATCTTCCTTAAACTAGAAAGTTCCTTATAGTTTCTAGTCTTCCTTGGGCAAAGTCAGAAATTAGTTCATTGCTTGTTCTCCAGTATCATTAATGATCTTACTTTTAGTTGTGCTGATGCTCATTGTCTTTGATACAAGTATTTACTATAAAAGGGAAAGTCATTAAATCCTGTTGAAATGTATCTATTTCTCCTTATTTTTAGTGTAGTCTTAATATTTTATTTAATTCACTTGTCTATTGAGAAGGTAACAAAAGATCATGGCAAGGCATGATGAAAACATTAATATAAATTGTCTTAAAATTTTGAAGAGCAATTTGCAAAAAGTAAAAATAAAAATAGACAAATTCTTAGCCAAAAAAAAAAAAAATTAAAAGTAAGTTTCTTTTAAATAGCTTTAGAAAGATTAATACATTTTTGGAGAGAAATGTGCAAAGAAAGTATTAAAGTTCTATCAAAAAAATTAAAATGAAGTTGCTCCCAATACTTTTTGAAAACTTAAAATGTTCATTTTAAAGGCTCTATTAACATTCTTTTATCTAATGTATATTTTCACATATTATCTATACAATGGCAATTATGTGAAGAAATGATGGATTTTTTCATCATAATTACAAATAAATTGGTTACTACAATGTTTCAGGTGTCCCCCCCCCAGTTAAATGACTATTGGCTTTATGGTAAGAATCTGTTTCCATGAAGTATAGCTCATAATTGACTTTTAGAAGAGTTCATATTGCACGCTTCTTCCTTTTTTCCAACTTTGTCTCCATATGAGTAGATGGAATTAGGCTGTTATCTACTTGTGTAAATTGAGGGGGTCCAAGAAATTTCTTCTTCTCCAAATATCTCTTTAATAGCTTGTCACAAAGCCTGAAATGCCTCTCTGAATAATTTCTGCATATGAAAACTGCCTGTAAAAATGTAAACATTTCTGAAGGGCTAACACCTTATAAGGACTTGGATTTTCAAGGGTGGGACCAAGACTGTTGGGTGTAAGAAGGACACATTATAGGTATCTGCAGGGGAGCAGGGCAAAAATACTGAGGGGCAGTAAGGGAAGATGGAAGGAGAATTGGGCAGGTGCAACAGGCAAACAGGGGTGAGCTAGAAACATTCCCAAGTCTCTGGCTATTACCTTTCTACTTGGTACTATTGCCTCCTTGAGGCTTCCTGAGAATATTTGATTGCTTCCATTTTCTTTTCTGAAACTTATTTGAGCATATTTTTTTTCACTTTCTTGTTTTTAATGTCTTGTATTGTTTTTCAAATCTTATCTTCTCCACTAGACTATGGGCTTTTTAGAGTCAGATGCTGCCATATTTCTTTGGTGTTTCCATAAACCCTAGGATAATGCTGAGCATGGTATAAGTATTTAGTAATACACATTGAGTTGATCTGCTTCCAGCACTTAATAAAAATTTGGTTTGAAATGCTTAATATTCATAAATGGCTTTATAGGACACAGTTAGGAATGCCAGAATTCATTAAGAGTAGAATCCCATGTATTAAAAAAATCGTTAATTATGGGTGCTATAAAAAATAACATTGGTCCTCTATCTCTAAATGCAGGGATAGGATAATAAAAGTTTGCAAGTGGGCTGGCTGATTGGATGCCACCTGGGGAAAGTGTCCTGTTATTCTCAGGGATGCAGAGTGTCATCGACAGGATCATCCTGAGGGCTCTTCTTGCTCTCAGTCGGTCCTGTGAGAATTCTTCTATTCATCTGGTAAACTCAACAAATATCTTTCTAATTTTGATGATTTGTTTGCTTTTTTTTTATGAGTGTGGAGGAAATAGCCTAAAATTTGAAATCACAGGATCTGAGTTCAATTGCCAGGATTGGATTGCCACTTACTAGCTGTGTGATGCAGGGCAGGTTATTTACTCTCCTAAGCCTCTTTCCTTAAGTGAGTAAAATATTAATACTGATGTTTGGACTAAAAAGTTTACCACTGTGCCTTTTAAGTGTAATATGCCCTACAAAGGTTTGTTGAAGTTCTGTGTTAATATAATGCCGAAAACATCTGTTACATAGCACAGGTTGAGCAACCCTAATCTGAAAATCTGAAATTCAAAATGCTTCAAAATCTGAAACTTTTGATTATAAGTATAATCAAAGACCAGTACAAAAAATTATCATCTTATATTTATTAAAACCAGTAAAACTTAAATGTGTAAATAATCAGGATAGTGAAGATATCAACCAGTGATGGGGCATGTGTACACTAATTCTAAATCCATTTTGTCAAGTGCATGAAAAAATAATCTTTTCTTATTCTCCTGGTTAAGCCTACTGGAGAGGAAGGAGTTAGCCTGAATTAGGTGGGATATGTGGAATCAAGGCGGGAGGTACTGGAGGGCAGATGCCTTTCAGTTTGATCTATATGGGGATATTCTAGGTGGAGGAGAACAGCCCACTACCTACAGCTTGCTGCGTCTTCAGTTGATTAGGTACAGTCTCTCTTTCACCTAGGTGAGTGAAAAAGAGTTTCGTTTGCCAGTTCAAACAAGTCAGCTTCTTACAATAACTCTTATTACCAGAAAACAAAATGGTTTCATTTCAGGCTCAATCCCTGCCTGGGACCCAGAACCAGATATTCTGAGTTAAGGGATCTGGGATGAAACTGTATATCAGGATTTTTAAAGCTTCCCAGGTGATTCTAATATGTGGTTAAGACTGAGAATTGCTGCTGCAAAAATTCACTGACCCAGCAGTAAGAATTGGCCTAACTTTTTACCATTTTGAGATCTGCAACTCAGATGTTACTTAATGCATAATGAAAATATCTATAGAATCTTCTTTAATTATCTTAAGCAAGTATTTCCAAAGTCTGATTTCATTAAGCAAAATCCTACAGAGGAAAGGATTCATTGAGGGAGTGTAGAGAGAATGTGGTTTCCCAAATTATGGAAGAAAAGAAAATGAAGCCTTTACCTTATTATAGTGAATACAATGAGGATGTTGCCAACCAGTCCTGTGGAACAGATAATCCCAACCATGGAAGGGAGGATGATGGTATCCGCAACACTAGGGGTTTGATAAGCAAACTCCTCATTTCGGGATTTGTTTGAAAGTTCAGTAGAGGTGTTCCAGCAAAATGAGTGAAATGAATTCATTGTGCATGGACTTCCAGTGGTGAAATCTGTGAAGTAATAAGAAGTGATTTACTTAATGAGTTCCCCCAATATAGATTTCCTTTACCTAATTCAAAAAGTATTTTTTTAGAGCCTGCTTTGTACCAAGATTCCATGCAGCATAGGATTCTATGGTTAAGTATGATATGATTGGTCTCTGTTTATAATGATTCACAGATTATCATAAGAGATAGGTAAACAGCAAATTACAGAACAGCATGCTAGTCTTCATATCTTATCATACCTTATGGTACTACATGCATTGAGCATAGCTGTTATTCACTTAGTACACACTGGTACTGGTTGTTTACACCTGACATCTGTTCTTACTGGCCTGTGTGTCTATTCATATTGGCTAGCACCCCTGCAACTCTTAGGTTGTTAAATATATCTTTTCTGTCTTCTATAAAGTGCATGGGGTACACCCAACTCTGATTGCTTAGGAATGGAATGGGTAAGATTTACTGAGATAATTACTGGATTATATTGAAGGATAAGGAAGAGTTAGCTCAGCATCGGACAGTTGAATGAAGGGAAAAGCACTGCAGCCAGTGGAGGCACCATGTACTAAGAGGTATACAGGGACAAATGCCCACGAATCAACCTGCTAAACAGAACCAACAGAGCTGTATAGTTTTCAGATACCAGAATTATTGGACACAATTTAAAACAACTATGTTTAAAATATTTAAGGAAATGTAAAACTGAAAGTCATCTGCAGAGGAGATCCAATTATAAAAAGTAACATGACAGACATGAAAAAGAATGAAATGAAAATGAGGAAACAAAGATATAAAAAATGCAAGCAAAAAATCATATCACTATCTCAATTGATGCAAAAATATTTTTAATGTTAAATTAAAAATCCACTTAAGATAAAAATCCTTAGTGAACTAAAAATAGAAGGGAACTTCCTTAATCTGATTAGATATAATATACTTAATGGTGAAATGGTGAACATTTCCCTTCAAACTATGAAAGAATGTCCACTATCACCTTTTCTTTTCAATATTGTACTTCTCTAGTACAATGGGGAAAGAAAAAAAATAGGATGTATGAGGATTGAAAAGGAAAAAAACTCTCATTATTTAAAGATGACATTATTTTGTATCTATAAGAGAGTTTAGGATTATTGGATGTACAGCATGCAAATATTTTCTCCCATTCTGTAGGTTGTCTATTCACTCTAGTGATTGATCCCTTGGCTGTGCAGAAACTTTTTAATTTAATCAGGTACCATTTATTTTTGTTGTTGCTGTGATTGCCTTTGGGGTCTTCTTCATAAATTTTTTGCCTAGGCTGATATCTAGAAGAGTTTTTCCAACGTCATCTTCTAGAATTCTTGCTATAGTTTCATGCCTTAAGTTTAAGTCTGTTATCCATTGTGAATTAATTTTTGTGAGTTATGAGAGGTGCAGGTCCTGTTTCAGTCTTCTATATGTGGCTATCCAGTTTTCCCAGCACCATTTATTGAATAGAGATTCTTTTCCCCAGTGTAGATTTTTGTCTACTTTGTCTAAGATCAGATGGCAATATGAAGATGGTTTTATTAATATATCTTAGGTTCTCTGTTCTGATCCATTGGTCTATGTTTCTGTTCTTGTGCTAGTAGAATGCTGTTTTGGTTGCTATAGCCTTGTTGAAGTCTGGTAAAGTGATGCTTCCTAATTTGTTCTTTTTGCTTAAGTTTTCTTTGGCTATTCATGATCTTTTCTGGTTCCATGCAAGGTGTAGAATTAGTTTTTACAGAGCTGTAAAAAATGACATTAATATTAATATTTTAATGGGTATTACATTGAATCTGTAAATCACTTTTGGTAGTACAGACATTTAACAATGTTGATTCTCCCAAGCCATGAGCATGATATGTTTTTCCATTTGTTTACATCCTTTGCAATTTCCTTCCTCAGTGTTTCATAGTTCTCCCTGTAGAGATCTTTCCCCTCCTTAGTTAAATATATTTCTAGGTACTTGTTTTTCTTTTTTTGCTATTGTGAAAGATATTGAGTCTTTGATTTGATTATCAGCTCGACTATTGTTGGTGTATAGGAATGCTTCTGATTTGTGCACATTGATTTTATAACATGAGACTTTGTTGAATTTATTTATCAATTCCAGGAGTCTCTTGGCAGAATCTTTGGAGTTTTCTAGATATAAGATCATATTATGAACAAAGAGAAATAGTTTGATTTCTTCTTTCCCCATTTGGACACCCCTCATTTCCTTCTCTTGTCTGATTACTCTGGCTAGGACTTCCAGCACTATGTTGAACAGAAGTGGAGACAGTGAGCAACCTTGTCTGGTTCCAGTTCTAAGCAGGAATGCTTTCAATTTTTCTCCATTCAGTATGATGTTGTCTGTGGGTTTATCAGATATGGATTTTACAATATTGAGGTATATTCCATCTATGCCTATTTTTTAAGAGTTCTTATCATAAAAGGGTGCTGAATTTTGCTGAATGTTTTTCCTCCATCTATTGAGAGATTCATATGGTCTTTTTGTCTTTGCTTCTATTTATTTGGTGAATCACATTTATAGATTTGTGTATGTTGAACCATCCTTGCATCTCTGGGATGAATCCCACTTGGTTGTGGTGAATTATTTTTTTGATATGCAGCTGAATTTGGTTTGCTAGGATTTTATTGAGAATTTTTAAACCTATATTTATAAGGGATATTGGTCTGTAGTTTTCTTTTAGTTGTGTCCTTTCCTGGCTTTGGTATCAAGGTGATATTGGCTTCATAGAATGAGTTGGGGAAGATGCCTTCCTTCTCCATATTATTAAATAATTTGTGTAGTATTGGTACCAGTTATTATATGTAGATCTGGTAAAATTTGGCTGTGAAGCCATTTGGTCCAGGACTTTTTTTTTGTTGGGAGATATTTTATTGCTGCTTCAATTTTGTTACTTAATATTGGTCTGCTCAGGAATTGTATTTCTTCTGGATTGAGCCTAGGGAGGTTTTGTGTTTCCAAGAATTCTTCCACTTCCTCAATGTTTTCAAGTTTATATGCATAGAGATTTTTATAGTATTCAAAGATGATATTTTGTATTTCTGTGGTATCTGTTGTAATATCTCCTTTTTCATTTCTGATTGAGCTTATAAGGGTCATTTCTGTTTTTGGTTAATCTAGGTCACCTTTGTTAACCTTCTCAAAGAACCAATTTTTTGTTTTATTAATCTTCTGTATGATTCTTTTGTTATGAATTGCCTTTAGTTCTGCTCTGATCTTAGTTATTTCTTTTCTTCTGCTGGGTTTTGGGTTGGTTTGCTTTTCATTTTCCAATTTCTCGAGCCAATTCATTAGAGTGTTGATTCTTTCTATCTTTTGGATGTAGGCATTTATTGCTATAAATTTTTTTCTTATGACTGCTTTTGTTAAATCCCACAGATTTTGATAACTTTGTAAACTTTGTGTCTTCTTGTGTCCTTTTTGCCATTTAGTTCAAAGAATCTTTTGATTTCCATGTTAATTCCCTCCTTGACCCAATAACTATTCAGCAGTAGGTTGTTTAATTTCCATGGTTTTGTGTAGAGTTGGGTGTTTCTGTTGGAATTGATTTCTACTATTATTTCACTGTTGTCTGAGAAAATACATGATATAATTTCTATTTTTTTAAAAATTTTTGTTGAGACATGTTTTGTGGCCTAGGATGTGATCCATCTTAGAGAATGTTCCACAAGTTGATGAGAAGAATGTATATTCAGTGGTTTTTGAGTAGAATGTTCTGTAAATGTCTGTTAGGCCTATTTGTTTTAAAGTTCCATTCAAGCCCATTGTTTCTTTGCTTATTTTCTGCTTGGAGTATCTGTTTCATTCTGTCAGTGAGGTGTGGAAGTTCCTTCCTATTATGATGCTGCTGTTTATCACTTTGTTTAAATAAAGTAGGGTTTGCTTTATGAATCTGAGTGTACCTGTGTTAGGTGTATAAATATTAAATAGTTAGGTTTGTTATGCCTTCTTGTTGAATTATTCCCTCCACCATTATATAATGACCATCTTTGTCTTTCTTTACTTTTGCTAAAGTCTGTGTTATCTGATATGAGAATGGCTACACTAGCTTTCTTTTGGTTTCCATTTGCATGAAAAACCAGAGTCAAAGGACACCAAATGAAAATAACTCTTTACCAATGGATATGAACCAAAATGAAAAGATTGAAATGACATATGAAGAATTCTTAATATGGATTATAAGGAAGCTAAATGAAATACAAGAGAAAATAGAAACCCAATGTAAAGACCAGAAAAACAATGCAGGAAATGAATGAAAAATTTACTAAGGAGATCAAATTATTTAAAAAAAATCAAACAGAACTTCTGGAAATGAAAACCTCATTCAAGGAAATACAAAGCACAATGAAAAGCCTTAAGAATAGGCTAGATCAGAAAGAAGAATTTCAGAGCTTGAAGACACCACCTGAGTTAAACAAGTCAAACAGAAAGATCTGAGAAACAAGAGGAATGAACAAAACCTAAAAGAAATATGGGATTATGTAAAGATGCCAAACATAAAAATCATAGACATCCATGAGGACAAAGAACAAAATACACAAGGGTTGGAAAATCTATTTGAGGGAATAATTGAGGAAAATTTCCATGACCTTGCTAGAAATCTAGATATCCAGGTACCAGTAGCTCAAAGGACTCTTGAGAGATTCATTGCAAAGATGCAATCACCACACCACATAGTCATCAAACTGGCCAAAGTAAACAAGAAAGAGGTACTCTTACTAGCAGTATGGCGAAAGCAGCAGCTAACTTACAGAGGAAAACCTATCATAAGAACTACAGATTTCTCAACTGAGACCTTTCTCAACTGAGACCTTACATGCCAGAAGGGATTGGGGCCCCATTTTCAGTCTTCTCAAACAGAATAATAGCCAGCCTAGAATTTGTATCCTGAAAAACTAAGTTTCTTATATGAAGGACAAATAAAGACATTCTCAGACAAGCAAACACCGAGGGATTTGTCTAGACCAGACCTGCCCTGCAGGAAGTACACAG